GTGTGATTATTGCTTTCCCTTGTTCTCATATCCCTCACCCTACTGCTTTTCCCTCCAGCTCTTTTTTATATCTGGATATCTGTCAGTGTTTTAAAAGGACAATCGTTTAGTAAAACCATCCTCATAGACAAGCCTGCATGGCTGCAAAGCTGTATCTTGTGTCCTTAGAATTTTACAGAGGTTTTATTGAGTTCAGTGCCCCAGGCTTTTCTGCTTTCCTTTTTTTTCTTTTTCCTGGAGCTAGGCTGAAGAGAGAAGTAGATTATCCAGTAAGCAAAGTCATTCCCCCTCCCAGATAATGTATCACTTGCTCAAGCAGAAGATGTTCTGCGTGGAATGTGATACAGTGGTTGTTAATTGCCTAGGTATAGTCAACCTACAAGGCATCTTCTAACTATTCCTAGTCCACTGAAACCGCAAAGGGGACATGAGTAGCAAGGCAGCCCTTATGCAGGCCTCAGTGCTTTTGTGTCATCAGCAAACACTGTGCCGATCCCTGTTTTCTCACATCTGTGACTTCATCACTAGCTGACAAGCAGCTACTGTACATTCCATGCTGCTAAATCAACAGGTTACCTAGCAACTCCTTCATCAGACTTGAAATGATATGTGGTCGCTACTAGTTTTTCAGCAGTCAGGGAATTACATGCTATATCGGACTGATTTTCAGTAGGGGGTTATTTTTACATTAAAAATGTAATCAAAAGAAATGTTTTGTTGTTTCATTAATTATGTTGAAGCATTAGGGAGAAGGAAATGGGAAAACAATGATTTACCACTTAGCAAGGTACAGTGATGACTCTGTTAACAGAGGAAAGGCATCAAGTATGATTTGGGCAGTCAGGAATGAACAAAATTCAGTTTGGATCCTGCCTGGAGACTCAGCTAAATATCAGTGCATGCTTGGGTGGGGGAGGGGGATAATTTCCAGTGCTACATCAATTAGTGTGTCTTTATATATGTTCATGATATAAACTTAATATGAAAATGTATGAAAAATGTTCCCATTCCTAAGCCCAGTTTTTGTATGCATTCTATCTAACAGATCATCTATAATGTCCCAGATAGCTTATAGAAAATGAATGCATACATTGTAGTTCATTGGCTATTTCATGACCTTTTCGGGTGGGTTATAAATCTGGTTTATCACAATACCTACTATAGGAGGGTAGTAAAGTCACTACACAATCATCAGAGCTGTCTGCCCTCCATCTGATATGTTAGGCAGTTTCTGTGGCACAGTTATAAATCAAATTAATATTTCAGCTGAGCACTTAAATAACAGCGGCCTTCTGGTCATGGCTGCCAACAAAACTGTATCATCTGTCCACTGTTTATTATATCTGCTTGTTTACTATTTCATATGATTTATCTGGCTACTTTGGTACATTTGGGGGAAAGTAATATGAAAATGGAAAATTCCAGGATTTGTCAGGTTTAAAAAGAAGTGTGGTGAAGGTGATTGGATGCATGTGTTGGAATATGCTGCATTAAGCTGATCTGTTTTTTTATAGGAGATATTTATTGGTTTTACTCAGACTTCAGATGTCCCAGTATTTTTAGAAAAGAGGTTTCAAAGATATTAGAAAATGAATGCTAATAATAGTAATCTCACAGTAAAGGCATCAGTGCTAACTGTGGTTGTCTAGGAACTTCTGCAAGAATGGCCTTGATTCCCTGTTACGTTTCCGGAATGCAAAGTGACTTTGACACCTTCTAACTTCCTATTGTGATGGCAGGCACACACGATGGTTTCATCACTCTTCCATTCAGACCATTTGGTGTCCATTCAAAAACATAACATTTCCTCTTGATGAATGATTGAACTTAGGGAATATAATATTGTTCGAGGCTATAGAAATACATAATAAACAAAATGTTTCTGGAAAATTGGTTCTGGGGAAAATGAATGTTGATAGTATTATTTCAGACAGACTTAAAAAATAAGTACTTTCTAGCATAAAACTGATATCCTTACCTAGTATCTAACAGACTGACTAAAAAAAGAAAAAATATATAAACTTGCCTGATTTTCCAAAAACAAACTTTGATGTTTTAATTTTAATATATGAACTATCTGAGGTATTCAACTGAAGAGTGATGTTCGGGTGTATCAAATGTTATCTATGTTAATTTGCCATAACTTAAATCAATTTGCACCAGTTTTTATGTATTAACTTAAGTTTTATTGTTGCTTATTATTTATACGTTATTTTACCTTATGTATTATAAATGATAGTGTAGAACTGAGTTAATCCCTAGATATTTTTTTTCCTTGTACTTCTTTCTTTGGTCAGATAGCATCAGAAAATGCAGAAGCTGACTGAGAATTGCATACTATGGCTTTTAAATGTTAAAAGATACTCTAAGAGTAAAATCATGCCAACTGATAAAAAGCTTCATGGATAAAACATGCAAAGAAACTATTAAATAATGAAATAGTTTTAATCGGATTGTCGGTAAACTGATAAATGCACCATCATTATTATTCCTACTATTCTTAAACTGCATTTATATCCAGCTTGTTTCATCTAGTGAGGAACCCAAGGCTGCTTACTTGGCTCCAATTGCATAGTACTGCTTTGTAGCAACCTGGCAATTGACTGGCAATTATTTTATCCCACAGCTAGTTACCTGAGGAATGCAACTGCTGAGAAAATAATTGCCTTCTCAGGGTGTTTTATTGTTTGACAAGTCAGCACTAGCATTTGACAATTAAATATAAAATAATGTAAATTAGCCAAAACCCATTTTTTGACATATGAAAACAGTGATAGTTGACATTTGCATGTAACAAGTGCAACTTGGGCTGCAATTCTGTATGCATGTATTTCCAAGTAAGCCTCATTCAACTGAATGGGACTTCCTCCTGAGTAGTCATGCATAGGATTGCTCCATTAAATACATGGCTATTCCAATTCCTTATCCCAAATATTAGAATTTAATAGTATTTAGTAATTTTAAATTATTAAAGATACTTTCAGATATCCATAGTACATCAGCTGTTTTAACAGTATATGGAGAAATATGTTCCTTTATACATGCTAAGAGAAGCAAATGTCCAAGGAGAGAAGAATATATTAGGCTACAATCTCAGTGACTAATCAAGGTTTGGTTGGCAAGTTCAAACAGGCATTCATTATAAATTTAAAATTAAATTTCACATTGTTGTGATTCTCTGATAGTGATATGCCCTGTAAATATTTGCCATCTTCTGTATAATAAATATAGTGGTGTATTAAAAGAAACTTCTAGAACTGTGATTCTTAATAAACTGACTGCAGAAAGAGTCCCACTGAATGAAAACCACTTCTGAATAAAGCTGCTTAGGCACTGAGTCACGTGTTTCTTCCTCAGATGTTGTGTCATGTACCAGGCAATTAAACTGGTCTTTTTGTTCAGTTTTTTCTGGTAGTTTACTTAGGATGATATCTGCCTCAAAATAAGGCTTGTTTAACTTGTTTGTATTCAGAATAAACATGCATCAGACTGACCCATCTGCAGAAATAAACTGTTCAGTGCTATAGAAATTAGTCTTACTTGCATGCTAGTTTTTTCTGTTTAAAAAATGGTCAGACCCTCCAGTCCAATATTACAAAAAAGGATATAGCACAAATATTCATTAAGTGCACTCCCTTGAAATCCAACTTTTTCCTAGAGGCAAGTCACATAGAAAACAATGTTATTTACACATATATTTTGCAGCAGTGGTAGGACTAGGTCTTAACCACAACTGGGTACCCACAAATCTGCAGGTGACGGGGATTGTGGCTAACATGGCCAGTGCCGGCACATGGACTAAAGTGGAGATCCCAGGCCCTCACCACAGCCCCCCTTCTCATTTTTAAGCAAATTTTATACTTGGGCAGCCAGCCTTTCTACCAAAATGGTGCCTATTCTGAAATAAATCTGTTATCTCTCTAGTCATGATGGTGCTAATATTTAAGCAAGTCAGAAGTGCAAAACTACAAATGCTCAAAGATTTATTTTCTTTGGCTGACACAGAGTTGTTTGCTTACTCTAATATGGCAGGGATTTAGAAGCAGTGGTAAAGCATGGAAGGGTGGTGGAGAGCAGAAGAGAAATGCTAATTGTGTGCCTCCCAACTGAAGTAATATACAGTTATCTAAAGAGGGATTCCAGTAAAGTCCATTAACTCCAAGGTCTAGAATTGCCTAGCTGTACCACTGCTCCTTGGCACACAAACCTGTTGTTCCTGAATACTGTCACTGAAATTCCATTCAGAATATTAGGTCTATCACAAAAGGACTTTTTCACACATATACTTGTGGAGTGACCCGTAATTTATGAGCGAGATAGTGTATCCTTTTCCAACCTTATGTGTTCACTGTGGGAAGCTAGAGTTGCCTTTGATTCTTCACTCTCTGTAGACAAGAATAGGGATTTTGTTTGAATATTATGTGGCAGGCAGCTCATATTTCAGCTTCCTGCTAATTTTTAAATATATAACACTCTGCTTTCAGATTTCAGAATAGAGCCTGCAAACCTAAATATCTTTAACGGGAAGTAATTACTATTGAAACTGATAGGTCCAGGATCATGATGCAAGATATGTAACACTGCATACCTCACAGACACATGGCAGTTCTGCAAGTGTGCATGCACACACACACATACAGCCTAAGTTTCTGAAAATACAATAAGGGTAGGAATAAAGTAGCTGCTAATTACAAGAGCTACTTTGAGAGCTGTCGATATAAAGCAAGAGTATAACATTTTAAAATAAAGCATCAGTAAATCAGTTCTCTAGTTCAAGAAATAAGCTTCCTTGTGCTAGATTTCTCACATGGTTATAAACTGCATGCATTTTCATTAACTAGGAAGCAAAGTTGTTTGCAAAAGGAGCTAAATATAGCATCACGTAATCTACACAATTTACCCCACTGCAAAAAGAAGATCTCCAAGTAAGTATATAGTGTTGTAAACCCCAAACATACATGTGGAATAAAAGTGAGATTAGGCTTGGTTTTGTTTTTTACCTTCATTAGCCACTGAGTGTTGTTTTCCAGGATGTTTTCGAGCAGCTGAAGCCTTTGTATAGAATCATCATAATCTAAGGGTGCATCCCTCTGCACTGCATTGGAAACGTAGGGGGTAGATGAAGATCTGCAATTGTCCATCTCAGGCAAAAGAAAAGTATAGCTACACAATCCATGCTGTACTTGATACTGCTTCTTGCCTAGAGTCTCTATACTTTTCCGAAAGGAGTTGTATCCTGAAACGAGAACAAGATTGCAGCTCAAAATAAAATAAACAGGCAGCCACATTTTGTTTTTCATAAATCAGCAGACGGAATGCTGTTAAAAGAGCTCAGATTAGCTTGATAGCCTCTTCCAGCAGTTGGTGCCCCAATGACATATGTGAATCTGAGGAATGAGTTGCAATTCCTTGTGTCCCAAGCGTAGCTTAAAAAGTCCCAAACTGTCACATGCAGATTTCCCTCAGCTTCTGCTAAATCCGTTTTTTTCCATTTTCAGATGGCATGGTTTCCCTTTGTAAAGCACATACAATACGTTGCTGTCCAAAATTATTCTTGCCCTCTCTGCAGATGTGTTGGTAAGAGAACTCAAACATGTGCTGCTAAAATCACTTCTCCCTCCTCATGCATCCGTTATCTTCCTGGTGAGAGAGGCTTGTGTGAGGCAGCGCGACTGTTGAGAGCATGCTGTTTTATTCATTTAGTGTGCTGCAGGAAACCCCTCTGGGAGGGAAAATAGATCATCCCTGTGAATTTCCTAAGCACCTCCTCAGTTAAGGGTCTCTAAGAGCTCTCATAGACTCTGAAAATCGTCTCTTATGTGGCTGTGGATTTTTATTTAAAATGAAGATACATCCTTTATTTTTCAGACTTTAAAAGTGCAGTCACATGCATTCTTTTGCATCCTGTTAGAGAGATGGGAACAATCCCCTTGAGTTGAGTCATCTGTCAACTTACCAACTGTGCATATTTATTTGTTTGATTAGTGTTTTATGTAGAATTATTTATTCTTCTATATAAACATTTATAACTGGCCCTTCTGGTGTTTTTGCAGCACGCAAGACAGTAAAAACAACTAAAATCATACATAAAATAATATTCAGAAATGGAAACAAGCAAGCAAGCTTGCCTATCTGATAGAACAAATACTGACCTAAGCAAGATTTATTTATTTACTATATTTATATCCCGTCTTCTTTCCTTTTACAGAACTCAATTTGTTTTTTGCAATGCTGTGAGCTGCTTTTCAAAAGGATATGAATATAAGTTACACAAGACAAATAATTCCACAATTTAAGTAGTGGTACAAAGACAGAATAAAGGACAGGTCCATCATTTCAGGGGGGTGGACCATCTGGATGGGATAAGATAGCCCCTAAGGTAGCCTGTCTCTGAGCCATGTTGGACTTTAAAAGGCATCACCTACATTCTGCCACGAAACAAAGTATAAACTACAATGCGCTTGCAGTACAGGTGTGACATGGGCCTGTAAGAGAGAATTTATCAGCATTCTTACAGTTATGTTCTGGATTTAGGGCAATCGCCAAAACATTTTTAAATTTACTGCGTGTAGAGCATCTTGCAAAACTTCAGTCTCTGTTTAGCTTATGCATTTGTCACCTTGGCCAGGTCAGTCCTTGTTACAAGCGGAGTACAATTTGTTGATATCAGTTGGTGTACCAGCCTCAGTTGGACCAAGGTTATAGCTGAGTATCCTAGTGCAGAGCCCAATCCAGAGGTACTTTCAAATTGCAGACTTGATTTTTCAAGAGGAGTTCTCCCATCTAAAACAGGTTGAAAACAAGAAACTAATATAATGATTTTTAGAGAAAGACTAGAGATGCAAAATTTCTGGAAATAGTGAAGCCATGAGATTCTGAGTAAGTTATTTCTTCCGTTCCTTATTAAGACCTTGATCAAATGCTTCTTTTACTGATAGACACTTAGGGAGACTCCAAGTCATGCTCAGTTTCCGAACGTTGATTTGAATCATTCTATCATAATATATAGAAGAAATGTGCATTCTTGACAGCTTGCATTTTGTTCTACAGAGCACTGTGTTTCTGGCCTGTTCTAGTTAGATGCCACAGCAGTCAATTAATATAGTTCTAATCTGAAACCCACATGAATGCAAAATACTGTATTAGATGCAACAGGATAGCATCTAGGTTATACCACCTATGGTTCTTGTTTTAAGTAACTTGAAGACTTGGCTCTATAGAACTCACTGCCCTGTTCTTAATAACATTCTTGAGTAGACCTCACCACTAGAGCATCTTGCCTCAGCCCTAAAAATCTTTTACCAGCTGGAAAGCATGTTATCCATTGCCACTAGAATAAACTTGCTCTCTCTGAAACTCAGAAACCTAGTGCCTTGGTATGGGATGAACACCATCATTGCAGACAACCATGCAAAATGAACAAAAAAAGAGGTTAATTTACAAAACATATTTATAAATGTGAGTAAATGCCACCCTTTCAAAAATAGGCTGAGACTGCTTAAAAGTTTTTAAATATGGTTGATTACCATTCCTAAGCTGAATCTTTCCCAGCTAAAGAAAATATCAATAGAATTTCCTTCAGACCAGATTTACCTAAACCACACCCCACAAACAGGAGCAGGTTTAGGAATTTTCCTAAATGTCCTTACTAACAGGAACAGATGCTGTACAACAATCTTCCTTGTCCTCCAGGTCTTCTTGGTTATTCTAGCTTCTAGGGTGGGTCAGATATTTCAAGGACTATGTTAGACATAATATAGAAATTCAAAATTCGTAATATAGAACTCTCATTGCTTATAAAATTAATACCTTTTTATATTGTTTATTCAGATGAGTAATTTATTAACTGGATTACTTTTTACAAGTTTTTAATGTTAACAATGTTTTACTGAGCAAAACTAGTGATACAGAATATGATTTATGCTCCTAGCTTTCCTCAACCTGGGGGCCTCCAACAGTTTCAGACAACAGCACATGCCTGACCTTGGCCATGCTGTCCTAAAGCAACAAAGTGGATCTGTAAAGACCACATACATACAAACAAAGCAAGCAATCAAGACGTATTTCCCCCCTAATTTTCCATTTTTTTCCCCTTTGGAAGAAGGAAATGAAAAAAGACCAAAAGTTTCTCTTAAGTTCTAAATTATATATATCTCAGTTACATTCTCTAGAAAGGATTATGTCTTGATTTATTAGTGACCATTATTGCATCCTGACATCAATCCAGGACATCAGCAGCTTCTCTGGGAATGGATGAAAACAAGAAATAGAAATAATTATTGAATGTTACCGAGAGATTCAACAGACTCAAGAGTCTCCCCCCACTCACTGCCCCCCACACCACTTTAGCTCCTGGAATAGTCTACTCAGGAGTTCTGAAGTTACACTGAAAGGGGTTTAAATATTCCAAAGCATCCAAGAAGCCCTGAACTGGCATGCCGCCATGTTCTAAATACCTTGACAGAAGCAGATTATCTAGCATGGTAGGATCCCAAGAACGACTCTTTCATAGAGTTTTCACTGAATGACATGACTCCTCCTTCCAAAAGTACATTTATCACAGCCTGTGCGCACTTAACCAGACCTCTGCTGGGTCTGTTAATCAGCCAGGAAGGGTAAGGGTTAAGAACACATGTGGTTGATCTCATTTTACTAAAGGTGTTGTCCACAGACTACATTGTCAGCCTAATACATTGAAATGCATCCTTTACAAGAGAACAAGCATTTACTAAAGATCAGAATCTATCATAACAGTGGAATCCAAAAAGGAGATGCAGATGCCCACAATTTTAACAATAAAGTGTTTAGCAGAATATAGAAGCAGGCAGCCAAGCTGCATTCAGCTTTCAGTAGACGGTTATGAAACCAACTTTTCACAATTCAGGTTCATGCCTGATCAGCTCTCATTTGCAGGATCAAAACATGGGTGGTCATGTTCTCTTTTTTTGCTGACATGGCAGTTATGATGACCCCCCCCCATGACTCCCCCCCCCAGGGCAGGAATTTTCCCCAAAACCTCCAGGACCTTGGCAGAGTGTAAGATAAGGAGAACCACAAGTGCACCTGCCTTCTTTGTTTCTCCCTTTGCACAGTGCTCTTTTAATGGCGATCCCCTGTGCCCAAGGCTCTCTCCCTGCATCATCTTCCCTATCCAGGATCCCAAGGCAAAGTGCCTGCTCCAAAGAAACCCACGCACCAGTCACACCCCAGCCCAGCCTTTACAATTCCTTAGCAAATGGCCTGTTATTCTTTTATCCCCCTCTCACCAAAACCTCAGTTATCAGATATAGGGGAAAGCACACCCCACTCTACATCTACACCCCTCTCACAGGTGTCTACTGAAAAGAGAGGAGAAAAAAGCCACTGCTCCATAATAAAACACTTAACTTTTGCTCCCACAGAGATTTTACCCTCACCAACAACTGGATGAAGCTTAGTACTGCAGAATAAAAGAGAGGTCATGCTTGGCCTGCAGCGGCCGAAAAGAACCACGCACTTTGGTGCCAGCCTTTAATTTCCAAACAGAAGCTGCCTTCGGTTTATTCTGTTAGTCACAGTAAACTGAAGTTAAGTGACTGTATAGCTTTGGGTATTAAAAAAACCCCATAGAATACCTTTTAGGAGAAAACCAAATATTGGAACGGGGTTTAAGGACAGAGGAGCAATATGCTGAAGACACATTGGCCCCGTTCTGGTTCCCCAAATGGGCTTCTTGCTCATCTAGACCTTCCTGCCACTGTATGCTCTAGATCAGTGGTTTTCAACCTTTTTATAGTTGGGGACCGGAAAAAATAGGAAAATTATTTTGAGGACTGCTGAGGCAGAAATAAAAAGCATTATATACATAATATAGTATTTTGTGTATTTGTTTTTAAATATAATACAAAAAATGAAAATTCTTTAAAATAACCAGAAACTGAGCAGTAAGAAAATGCTAATAAAAGAATAAAATATTGACATAAAATGTAATCAAATATAACTGAAAATTTTAGAGAGTGATATTTAATTCAGATAAGGCTACTGTGAAATCTGCTGTTGCTTCTTTTCAAGAACACCTGATCAAAAATGTACAGTAGCAAAATACAAAATCAATATAAATGCAATACTATGCTCATAGCAAATACAAATTCAACAGCAGAGCAATACAAAATCAAATGAAGTTACTTAATACAATAATGTTCATAGTGTTAAATAATGAAATATAAGAAATCTCACCCACTCAACCCCCCCACACCATGCAGACCAGCACAGACAGGCTGAGAGAACGCTCTCAGCCCAACCCCACCTCAGCATTTCCCTTCCCAACAGAAAGCACAGCAGAGAAAGGAAAAGACTCGGTCTTTGGGGCCCCACACAGGTGGCGGACCCGGCACAGGGCGGCTCCTGGCTGGCTCCTACTGAGCTGCCCCTCCCCTCCCTTCCCCAACCTCCTCAGCCAAGGAAGAGGCAGGGAATTGGCAGGAGAGTGCAGCTAGACCCACACTAAATCCTAAGATGCTGACTTGTATTTTATTTTGTCTTATTGTTAAGACCGTCCTGAGACCACAGTAAGGGATGGTCTAGAAAAGTTTTAAATAAATAGTAAGTCCTGGCGAGCAAGATGTTGCTGTTG